TTACTTAGGCACTTAAAACGCACACGCACACGCACACGCACGCAAACCTTTAATTCGTAACATATACGTGTGTGTTTTTCCGTGCGTCCCTCGAGGACACACGAGAAAAGTTTTTTTTTTCCTTACGTGAAAGACATGTGACGAATGAAGAGTGGGGGTGGTAGGAGGGAAGAGGAAAAAAATTCAAAACCGTATGCAAATTTTTATCTTAGCCCCTCTCCTCCCCTCACCGGCCGCCGCTTCAATACTTCTCTGTCTTTTCCGTCGTTCATAATTTCCTCCCTCACTCCCTCCACAATTTTTTTTTCACCTTAAGCTCCTCCCACACTCACTCACTCCACTTCACTCCGCCTCCCGTTACCCTCCCCCCCTTAAAAACATGTGGAAAATGGCTGAGTTAAAAAAAAAAAAAATTCACTTTCTTCTTCTTCTTGTTTTTTAACCCAAAATTAGCATACCTATTATACGTATATACGTCGCTGCTGCCACGAGCAATAAAAAAAAAAGAATTTTTTCCAACTTTTCCTTTTTTTTTTTTTTTTAATTTACGTAACCCAATTTTTTTTCTGTATAATAATACCAATAATAATAATAATAGTGATAAAATTTTATGAATAAAAGAAAGAAGAGGGGAGAGGCGGAAGGGGGAGGAGGGGGAGGGGGTAAATGAAAAAGTTCAGGTGCGATAGAAAAAAAATATTTAACGAAAGTTTTAACGACTCAAATTTTTTCTATTTATACATTATACGGTTATTATTATTATCATCATCATCATAATTCGAAAGATTTTGAAAATGAAATCTAAGGGAGGGGGGGCTGTTTCCGTTTATTTAACGACTTTTTTTTTAACCCTTACTTATTATCATTTTTTTTTTCAAAAGAAGAAAGATAAAAACATTACAAAGAATATGAAAAAAAGGGAACCAATAGGAAACGTTTTCGTCACCGTTATTATTATTATTATTATTATTATTATTATTATTATTATTATTATTATTAATAAACGATACATTAGGTATAGTTAATTTGATGTCATTTCCGGTAATTTAAATCACCCGTATTAAAATGAAATAATAAAATAAATATTTGTCTTTCTCTCCTTCTCTTTCTCTGACTCTCTGTGACTCTTATTATTATTATCATTTGTAGTTGATATTTTACTTAATTAAATTTCATTATTTTGTTAGTAATGTCGTTTGTCGTTTGTTGTTTGTCATTGTTTGTAGTTGTTATTGAACTTTTTTTTTTGTTGGAAAATCTATTCGAATAATTAAAATAAATTTGTTAATTTTTTTTATTTGTCAATAATCAAAAAAGGAAATGAAATCATTTTTTGTTTTGTCAAAGGAAAATAATAATAATTTTTTTTAAGGGGAAAAAAGTTTTGCCAACTTAAATTTGAATTTCCCCCTCCCCCTTCCTTTTATGAAATGAAATTAATGATTTTTCTTTTTTTTGTTACTGTTGTTGTTGTTGTTATCGATGATTTTTTTTCTTTTCAATCCATTACGATTATTATTATTATTATTACTACGGGAAATTATCTGATATTGACAGATATTTATATATTCTAGAAAGAAAAAGAAAAAGAATAATAATAATAATAAATAAATAAATAAATCATTAACAAATTTTTTTGTTTTTATTATTTTCCGATCAAAAATCAATCATGGCTGACGTATAAATCTCATTGTTTTTTTGATTTTCTTGTTCTAGATTTTTCCATTTTTATGTTTATGCTTTTTTCTTTTCATTTTTCTTCTGCTTTTTTATCCTGCAACAAAAAAAATTTATATAGTTATATATAATAACAAAGTTTAAAAAACTTTTCTTTTTTGTTTTTTTTTTTTAGGCCATAAATTTTCTTCTTCTTCTTCTTCTTTACTACCACTACTACAAATAGCAATATTGTTATTATTATTATTATTATTATTTTAAAAATGACATTATGGTAAAATTCATTGCAATGAAAATTTTTTCAACTTTGAAAATTCCTGGACTGGAAAATTGGTTTTTTCCCTTCCCCCCTCCCAAAAAAAAAAAATTAAACTCGTTTAACTTTTATAAATGTTTTTCTTTTAACTTTTCCGAAAATAAATAAATTTTCTACCTTCCCCCCCCCACTTTTTTATTTTTCAAACGAATTTCGTAATGATGGTAATAACTAATCATTATTATTATTATTATTAAAAAAATAAATAAAAATAAATTATGTACGATAATTTTTTTTTTTTTTCGTTTGAAACAATCAAAATATTTCGTTTATATTGATGACGTTATGAAAAATTTCTGACCCCCTCCCCCCCGTTTTACAAATTTCAATAATAAAATGTTTCAAAATGTGGCCGTGAAAATAAAAGAGGGGGTAGGAGAAAGGAATGAGAAGAAAGTTTTCCAAAAAAAACGGGAAAATTTTTTTTTTTTCGGGAAAATTTTAAATTACGAAAAAACAATAAAGAAAATTTTTTGTTAGTGATTTTCGTTGACGTGAAGTATTAACCATGATAATAATAATAATAATAATAATAATAATAATAATAATAATAATTTTTTGTTCATTTTTAATAGGGAGGAAAGGAAAAAACAAAAAAAAGCTGGAAAAATTTTTTATAACAAGGCATTGTTTTTTCATAAGTTAAACATAAGCGAATCAGTCTTTTAATTAATGACAAAAAAATACACATAAAAAGTTTATTAAAAATTTTTTTTTAAAAAAGAGAAAATACAATGTGTGACGTCATACACACACACGCGTGACGTAAGATGTTTTTATATAAGCATTGTTTCATTAAAATAAAATCTTTTTTAAGAGTTAATTTGAAGAAGACTTAAAAATAAAAAAATTTCTTTTCTCCAGTTTATTTTTTAGCTGGAAAAATTTTTTTTTTTCCCCATAGCATGCACATAATTAAAAAAAACGTAATTAATTAATTTTATTAATTTATAAAGTGATAATAATAATAAAATTTTGATAAAAACGAAAAATTTTTTACATTTTTTGTTGTTGTAGTAAAATTGATGGAAAAAAAAGGAAAAACATTTTCATTTTCATTTTATTTATTTTGTTTTTGACATTTTTCCTTTTAATTTTTTTTCTAAAAGGAAATTGTGTGATGACGTTATTTCACTCAAATGAACAAACTTTTTTAAAAAAAAAAAAAAAACGTTAACCTTTTTATGTTTTTATGTTTTATGTTTTTCTTTTGATTTTAAATACCAAGAAAAAAAAAAAGTTTAATAAAAAATAATTTTATTCATCTTCAATTTTTTTTTTTTTTTTTTTTTTTTAAAGTAAAATAAACTTTTTTCCCCGGCTGTTGCCCCGGTTGTTTTTCAACTTCTTCTGCTACTGCTGTTGCTTCTGCTGCTGCAGTTGTTTCTGTTGCTGTTTTTTTTTTTTTTTTTTAATAATTTAATTTTAAAGTAAATACTTTCCATCGCTAAAAAAAAAAATTCAACCGTCGAAATATAAAAACGTGGGATTTATTATTATTATTATTTCGGGTTTTTCAATGAGTTAAAAGGAAAAACGGATGTGAATATAAAGGAAAAAAAGGAAACCGGAAGTGGGAGGAAAGAATTTTTTTTTTCAATTTATTCATCGAACGGCAAACCCGAAAAAAAAAAAAAATTTTCGGTCATTTTTTCCTTTTTTTTTCTTCTGCTATTACTAATGCTTATGATCGTCCTCTCTCTCTCTCTCTCTCTCTCCCCCACCACGCCCCCTCCCCTTCCATCACAATTTTCAATTTTATTATTTATTTTTTACATTAACAAATCAAGCTTAAAATGTTTATTTTTCATTATAAAAAAAAAAAAAAATTTTTTTTTTTTATTTTTAATTGAAAAACAACAAATCGTTCAAAGGAAATAATATATATTAGTCAATCAATCAATCAATCAATCAATCAATCGATCAATCGATGAATCAATGAGTTTGAAAAATTATTCTTTTGTCATTTTCATTCCATTCCATTCGTTCAAGTTTATTAATAAATAATAGAAAAGAAAAAATAATAATAATAATTTTTCATTTCTATTTTTTTTCCTTTTCCAGTTCATTAATGTATAAACATTAAATGGATTAAAATTTTATTTGTTTGTTTTGTTTGTTTTGTTTGTTTGTTTGTTCCTTGTTTTTTTTAGTGAATTATTAAAAATTAATTTTTTTCAACGTTGTAGAAGACGATTCTTAATTAAAATTTTTTTTTTTTAAATTAATTCTCGTAACAAAATAATCACAACGAAATTTTTTTTAATAACTTTTTATTGGTACGTGAATAATAAGTTACGGAGCGGCGAGTATAAAACTGGAGAAAACAAACAACAAACAAACAAACGAAACAAAAAATTGAACGTTAAATTTAAATTTTAATATTTTTTTTTGAAGAGAAAAAGGAGGAGGAAAGAGCAGTAAAAATTCGTGACCTTCGTAAAAAAAAAATTTTTTTTTTAATTTAATTTTTTTTGTTCCAGCGTTCCAGCGCCCGAAAAATTATTATCATTATCATTTTTTATAAACAATAATTTATAAATTAAAAAAATAAAAAAAATTTTTTTTTTAACGAGTTTGTTTAAAGTGAACTTTCGCGCTCGTGTGTGTGTGTGTGCGATTAAAAAAAAGAAAACCGGAAATAATAACCGGTTTTTGTATAAAGTGAAAATTTAAGTGAAAAACCAGAAGAAAAAGCAGAAGAAATTTTTTTTTTTTTTTGGTGTTAAATGGATTTTATAAAAATGATTTACGATCCTTCTCCTCCTCTTCCTTTTTTTTTTTTTTTCCTTTCGTGTTCGGTGAAAAATTTTTTTTTATGGATTTTCGTTGTGATGAGAAGAAAATTAGAAAAATCAAACAAGGGAAAAATTTCACAATAAAACGTAAGTTTTCCCCCTACTCCTCCCCCTTCTTTCTTTTTATTCCTCCCCTCCTGGACTGGAACCCCCTAAAAACAAAAAATTATCATTATTATTATTATTATTTGAACAGGTGACCGAATGTTATGAACGAATCCGAAGCTTGCGATTCCCTCATCACCAAAGTCAACTGGACCGACGCCTTTTCTCTTTTAGTGTTGGCAATACTTCTTCTGATAAATGTCATGGTCGTCGTTGGCAATTGTTTGGTCATTGCTGCCGTTTACATAAGTTCTAAATTAAGGACCGTAACTAATTTATTTATCGTATCACTTGCAGTGGCGGATCTTATGGTCGGCGTCGCTGTTTTACCATTTAGTGCCACGTGGGAAGTTTTCAAGGTTCGAACAAATTTTTTTTTTTTTTCCAATAATGATAATGATCGTCGTCATCATCATTATTATTCAGAACACAACGTAAATTTTTTTTTTTTTCTCCTTCCTTTTCCCCCTTTTTCTTACTTATTATTATTATTATTTTTTTAACGATTTTTAATGACGTCATAATATGAAATCCGATCATTATTTTATCCGACAACCGCGCGTAAAATTTCAAACAATGAAATAATAATAATAATAATAATAATGAATTTTTTTTTCATTTAAATAACGAAAATGAAAAAAGAAAATGGCGGAAAGAAAAACGGTTAGAAATTACATAGAGAAAAAAAAAAAAGTACGAACGAAATTCATATTTTTTTTTTGATATTAAAATAATATTTACAAGCCTAAAAAAAATCAAATTTTCTATTTCGTTTGTTCTGGAAAACCGTAGAAAAAAAGGAAAAAAAAAGGAAAAAAAAAATGTTTTTTTTTCCTTTTATACGGTTTATTATTATTGTTGTTTTTGTTGTCGGCATAAATTTTTTAAAAAACGAATCGGTTGGAAAAATATCGAGGGAAATTTTTTTTTTTACGTTGGCAGCAACACTCGATGACGCGTTGAATATAAATTTAACAATACAACGACGACGAGGAAAGAATGGATGAGAACAAAAAATTGTGATTGATGGATTGATTGCGGCGGTTTTTTTTTTTTTTTTTTTTTTTATAAATCAACGTTTATCGTTGAAAAATAAATTTATTATTAGGACTCCATGTTTAAAAAAAAAAAAAAATGAATAGATAAACGAATTTTGAAAAAAAAAATTTTTTTTCTCCTGCTTTTAAATAAAAATAAAAAAAAAAAAAAAAAAAAAAAGAAAATTACGTCGAAATAAAAGTTTTTTTTTTGTAAAGAAATAAAATGTCAAAATTTTAACGGCTCCGACAAAAAAAAAGAAAAAAAAAAAAAAAAAAAAAGAGAAAATTTTTTAACGTACCTGACTTGAAATTTTAAAATAAATTTATGATTTTTACGGGGGTAGGAAGAGGAAGGGAGAGGGAAGAGGTGAAAGTTTCAGAAAAAGAAAAATAAAAGGAAAAAAAAAATTTTTTTTTTCTTTTTCCTTTTTCTTTTCTTTTCCAGGTTTTCTAAAACTTTTTGAAATCGTTCAAATTTTTTCATTACTTCCTCCCCCCCTTACTCGCGAAGTAAAAAAAAAAAAGCAGACGATTTTTTTTTTTTAATAAAAACAGACGATTTTAAAAGAAAAAAAAAAATTAATAAAATTTTAACTCGAAATTTTTTCCAAAAACTTGTCACTCCCCTTTCCCCTCCCCCTTCCTCCTCCTCCTAGTTTACTTTGAATTTCGTCGATTTTTTCAAAAAATTTTGGCTCCCCTTTAAACCCCCTCTATCTCCTCCCTCCTAAATGATCATAATTCATATTCATAGTTGAGCTGGAATATTTTTTGAAATCTCCAGAATTTCAAGAAGGATTTTTAAAAAGTTTGACGATGTGACATTAACCACCTCCGGTCATCCCCCCGGTCACCCCCCGGTCCCCCCCGTCCGAGGGATTTTTTTTTTTTTTAAGAAAATAAAAATTTTTTTATTTTTTCGAAATAAAGTTTTTACGCTAATGTTTTTCACCTCCAGTTAAATCATAAAAAAAAAAAAAAGAAAATTTTATGGAAGACATTATAAAACGTGGAACGTTATAGCTTCCGGTTACAAAAAAAATTATTATTATTATTACCATATTTCAGGTTTGGATATTTGGTGATTTATGGTGTTCGATATGGTTGGCTGTAGATGTTTGGATGTGCACGGCATCGATATTAAACCTTTGTGCCATATCTTTAGATCGATACGTTGCCGTCACGCGTCCCGTCAACTATCCATCAATAATGTCATCATCAAGAGCTAAAATTTTAATTGCCGGAGTTTGGGTTCTTTCATTCGTCATTTGTTTTCCACCATTGGTCGGATTGAAAGATTCGACTTTGGGAAATGGAACGAATGATGATACAAGTTTTAGACTTCCACGAACGCATCCGATGATCATCAATCAAAGATCGTTCGTGACGACGTCACACGAGGATCCCACGACGACTGTTTACACGACGTTTACGACGACGGCGACGACATATTCGACATTGTCGTTAAATTTAACTGATAATATAACAAATAATTCGAGTTTGGAAAGTGATTACTCCGGTGGTGGTGATGATGTTGACGATTATAAAATTATTTATGACGATTACGATCGCGGTGGTACCAACAACGAGTACGATGATGATATGTCTGAAAAAAAAATTAGAAAACGAATTAAAAAATCATTAAGTGGTGATACATTACCAAAAAAAATGTCTGCTTTTTCGGGTGTGCCTGTTATTACATCAAATAATTTTCACTACCCCAATCATCATCATCATAGTTTTCAAGAGGTTCATAATTTTGATACGTCGGACGACGTATTGTTCACGACGACGACGCCGACGACGACTACTCCTCAACCAACTGCCGAATCATTTCAATGTCCCTGGATATGCGAATTGACGAGTGATACCGGATACGTCATATATTCGGCACTCGGATCATTTTTTATACCAATGGGTGTCATGCTTTTTTTTTATTGGAAAATTTATAGAGCTGCCGTACAAACGACGAGAGCAATAAATCAGGGATTCAGAACTACGAAAGGTAAAAAAAAAATTAATGAAAAGTATTATTATTATTATTATTATTAAGTAAAATTATTATTTAGGAAGCGGAGGTTTTGGTAATAGATTCGACGAACAAAGACTGACACTAAGAATACACAGGGGTCGGGGAAGCGTTCAAAGTCACAGTAACACGTCCACGTCTATAACATCATGTGGTTCTATATCCGGTTCGCCGAGCGTTACCAATGGACACGATAAAATCACCGAAGTACCAAGACTGAATCGTACCCGACTCACTAGAACTGGAAAATCCCACGAAAAAATTAAAATAAGCGTAAGTTATCCGAGCAGCGACCAAATCAGCACATCTGTGATGAACAACAACAATGGCCTACATCCACCATCATCACCGGAAGCGACAATACGGAAAACAAACGAATCATCATTATTGGACGGTTCGCTGGACAACAAAAATTACTTATCGATAGAATCGTTGAGATTTCCAAAGAAGACGATTTTTCTAGCAACTTCGCAAAAAAAAAAAAATTTTTTTCAAAATCATTTTGCATCGAGAAAATATCCAGATCCAAAAGACATAAGTTATTCCGTACATTACACGAATCGTACTCGAAAAGACTCGACGACGGGTAGTACAACAAACGGACAAAAAAAACTAACCAATCAAAATTGTTACTTGAGAGTGACGGGTTCGAGATTGTTGACGACAACGCAATCATCAAAAACGGATAGAAGTTTAAGTATAGATTCAATGACTTCCGGTTACGATGACGATCGAACGTCTAGAAGAAATTCAACAAGGAGCAGTTGTACGGAAGATGCATCAAAAGACATGTCACCAAGTCCGACATTCGACGACGGTCATCATTCACAAAAGCCAAAACACGTGTCCAAAATGGGTAAAAGAAACATAAAAACCCAAGTCAAAAGATTTAGAATGGAAACAAAAGCTGCCAAAACGTTAGGGATAATCGTCGGCGGTTTCATATTATGTTGGATGCCCTTTTTCACCATGTACCTAATCCGACCTTTTTGTCCGAAATGCATTAATCCCATAATGTTTTCCGTACTTTTCTGGTTGGGCTATTGCAATTCCGCCATTAATCCGTGCATATATGCGCTTTTTTCAAAAGATTTCCGTTTTGCATTTAAAAAAATAATATGTAGATTTTTGTGCGGTCCCGAAAGAAAACTTTCCGTTAGTTTAAAAAGAAGAGGAAGCGATGGAAGTCAAATGACGACTCATAAGGTCATTGGAAGACAAAGAAGTCCGTCCTTTATTCCTCCGAATAGTATGGGAGAAGATAGCGATCCGGGTGCAAGCGATTCCAGGTGACCCTAACATCTCTGGATAATAATATCAATATACCGTTATCACGAAAAAAAAAACATTAAATCCAATCATAATTTTATACTCAAGTCACTCATAAAAATTTATTTAGAATTATTTGTTATTTATTAATAAATAAATAAATATATATCTAGTTATTTATTAACTTATATATTAAAAAATTATATTATTAATAATAATAAAAAAATATATATATTTATTTATTTTTATCCATGCGTTTTCTTTTATTTAAATTCAAAAACAAAAGAATTTCCGGTTTCTCAATAAAAAATTTCCCTTTAAAAAAAAGAAATCGGGGAAAAAAATTCCCTTCCTCACTCATTCACTCACTCCCTCCTTCCGGAACGAAAGAACGAACGTAAAATGGCCAAAAGAAAATTAAATTTTTTTTTTTTTTCCCTTTTCGTGGAAGGAGATGAAATGAAGCAGACGAAAAAGTTTTATGTAACGTCATTCATACCCCCGAAACATTCTCTCTCTCTCTCTCTCTCTCTCTCTCTCTTAATTGCTTTTATTTTTATTTAATTTAATATCTTTGCATTAAATATTAATTAAAAAAAAAAAATTTTTTTTTTAATTTTGAATTTTAAAAAAAAAAAAGACGTTAAACGGAAATTCATTGAATGAATGACAGGAAGTAGAAAGAAGGAGAAAGAAAATAATGAAAACTTTTTTGAAAAATTGATTCTGAATAAAAACTTTTCTTCTTTTTTTTTTTCTAAGCACGTCTTACACTTTTGTTGTTGATGTTTTTTTTTTTTTTTTTTTTTTTTCAAGGTTTGTACGAACAAAAAAAAAGAAAAGTTTTTTGTCTCTCTCTCTCTTTCGCCATTTTCTTTTCAGAAATTTTATTGTCGAACAAATGCTTTTATTACCTTAAATTTTTTTGAATTAAACTCCGGGGTTTTTTTTTTTTTTTGTTACACGAGAAATCCAATTTTGTAAATTTCCTTTTTTCTTTTTCCCCCCTCCTCTCTCTCTCTTTCTCTCTCTCTCTGTCTCTCTCTCTCTCTCTTTGTTATTCTGTTTTACATAGTTATTATAATATTTTAAATATAAATTTTAAGTCAAAGTATTTTCGAATCGATAAATAAATAAATAAACTTAACGCAAACCTTATTTTTTTTTTCTGTATCGTAACAATGTTGCCAAATCGACAGGTTTTTTTCCGAGAGAGAAGGATATGATTCATGTTAATAATAGAATATAAAATATTTAAAAAAAAAATTTTTTTTTTTGTTTTTCAACGGTTGGTAACAAAATTTATTTACACGGATAAACTTGAAATCGAATTAGAAAATTAGAGTGAGGTTGTGTTGTTGGATTCAGTTTGATTTGAAAAAGGAAAATTGAGAATTTAATGTGCGACGACGGCTACGGGAAGGTTGGTAGCCTTGACTCTGAAACCTCCGGTTGCGTCACTCACGTATTTGACGGTTTGTAAAACGCCGTCGGTGTCGACGTAACTGTAACCGCCGTGGGTGGAACCGTCAGCGGATCGAGTTTCTTGGTGAGATGATTGATCACCGGATGAGTAACCGTAGGTATATTGACCGAGATTTCCGGTTGTGAAATATTGACTGTAAAAAAGTAAAAATTTATTGAAATTTATTTTTTTAAAAAAAAAGATGGATGCTGTGAGAATTTTCAATTACCTAAAACTTGGAAAGGTTGATGGAATCGTGTAAAAAGCTCTTCTTCCGTAACCGGTTCCGTATCGGGCAGAATAACCGGTTCCGGCTCTTACACCGGCACCGTATCCGCCGGCAACTTCGGTAGAAGCTGGCGTTTTTGTACCGTGTCCGGCAAATACTCCAAACCGTCCGGCGGATGCGGAAGCTCCAAAACCACCGGAGCCAACATTAGTTCCGGCACCTACACCAAATTTTCCACCTCCCAACGAACCCAATCCTGCGGAAGCAGTGAATGGGCCAAAGGAAGCTGAAGCACCGAGTCCTTGTCCGTTTGAGTTTATACCCGCACTGGCACCAAATCCGTGACCACCGGAGCTTGCGCCAGCATTAGCGCCGTGTCCAGAAACGGTACCAAAAGACAAACCCCGAAAATTAGCGGTGACTCCAAGCCCTTGTCCAACACCCAAACCGGTTCCAGCACCAAATCCAACTCCTAAACCGGTTTCGGCACCTTCACCTCTGTAAGATCCATCATCTTCATTTGGATTTGGACGATATTGTCCATCATCGAAACCTTCAGTTCCTAAAATTTTTAAAAATTTAAATTTTTTTTTTAATTAGGTTACAATCCGGTCAAAGCAAAAAAAAAAATTTTTACCTGTCAAACTTCCCAAACCGACACCAAAACCAAGAGCGTTTCCTTCTCCTCTGTACGAACCGTCATCCTCACTTGGATTTGGCCTGTATTGTCCGTCATCGTGATGAGCAGAATCGTCGACAGAGACAGCAGCATTATATTTAGCGGCTTCAAAAGCGGCATAGTGTCTTGCTTTTTCAGCAGAAACCTTTAAAAAATTTTTTTTGTATAAAATGACATCTACAATTTTTTTTTTAAAATAAAAATTTACTTACTTCTGGAGTATCTTGAACTGGAGCAGGTGGTACGACAACAGCAGGAGAAGCTGGAGCTCCGTAAAGAGCAGCTAAGAGAAAATAAAATCATTAACAAAGAAAAGATTAAATTCGAATGATTGTAATTATTTTACTCACTTAAAGAAGAACCTCCGACACCAAAACCGGTTCTTGAACTACCTTGAAATCCAGCTCCGTTTCCTACTACAGCGACAACTCCAGGACCAGAATTGTAAGTACTGTGACCGGCACCGAGTCCAGCAACTCCAGAACCAACAGATGAAACGGCTGGAGCAGAAAAACTATAACTTCCGGAATTTAAACCAGCACCACCACCTAATGCAGAAACGGCAACAGAATCTCCGAGTCCAGCTCCATTAACGCCTCCCAGACCGACACCAGAAGTGTATGCAGTTCCTAATACGGAACCCTGTCCGACTCCCAATCCGGCACCGACTCCACCCCCAACATTTGTATTGTAAGCAGTAACTCCAGATCCAAAAGCACCATGACCAGCTCCAAATCCGGAACTTAAACCGGAAACTCCAGAACCAATAGATGAAACAGCAGGAGCAGAAAAACTATAACTTCCAGATCCTAAACCACCACCGGCAGCACCAGATAATAATCCCGAACCAGAAACTTCACCGTAACCAGCTCCCGATCTGGCTCCGTAAACTCCAGCGGATCCATATCTTGCAGTTCCCCTAAAAGAAGCAGAAGGAACGGCACCAGTACCGGCGGTTTCGCCGGACGGACCAACCGGAAGGTTGGTAGCACTCACGTGAAAACCGTTGTTGTCTGCTTGATAATTAACTTTTTGCAACACGCCATCACCATCAACGTAAGAATAAGAGCCTTGTGTGAGACCGTTGGCAGATCTAAAAAAAAAAAAGCAAACGTAAAAAATTTTGTTTGTTGTTCATTGCAACAAACAAATATAAATAACAACCTGGATTCAGATTTCGTCGAAGAACTTCCGGTATAACCGTAAGCATATTGTCCTTGATTTCCTAATGATTGATAAAGTTGAAGAATTGGTTCGTGAAAAGATGGATTGGATGGCCTAGTCGCAACAACAGCGAAAACTGCCAACAAAACAACCTTTCAACAACAACAAAAAAAAAATTAATCATATTAAATTTGTTTGTTTGTTTGTTTGTTTGTCGATATTATTGACAAAACGCAAAAAAGATTTTTATTTATTAAATAAAATAATCAACAAAATTATCAACCAGAAAAATTTTTTTTTCATTAAATAACCGGAAATCAAAAAAAAAAAAATCGTACGATAGATCGATAAATCGATCGATCGATCGATCGATTTTTATTTCACTTACCAAAAATTTCATCCTTCCTTCAATATCAATCAAAGTCTCTTTCAACACAACAAACAAATGTTCCAGTTGTTAAAAATCAACATCTTATATATATACTACTCATCCCGTCTCATCATCATTCCAGAAAGTGATTCACTCTTACAAAAAAAAAAGGGACTCTTAAGAAGATCTTTTAAAGAATTGACAAGAGTTCCAGAAACGTTAAAAATTTTCCAGCATCTCAATCTTCACACCCTTCAAACGAAAAAAAAAAAAAACTCGTTAATGATTAATTATTTACCTGAGGACGACATGTTTGTTACCGTTCTTCGCACCAAAGCATCTTTTCTTCTTCTTCTTCTTCCTCTCTTCCCTTACGTTTTAACAAAAAAAAAATTTTTTTTCTGGAATTTTAAAATTTCTATTAATTCTCCAGTCATTTATTATCAAAAGAGTCCTCCTTATTTATTTATTTATTAATAAAATGAAAAATAATCGTATCGAAAACAAAACAAAAATAATCCATCATACGCTTTCGACATTATTATTATTAATATATAAGTAAAAAACCGTTAAAAATGGCAAATGGGAAACGATTAATAATAATAATAATAAAAACTAAAACAAAAGTAATAAGTTTTATTATGATGATAAATAACAATGATAATAATAATAATTAAACGTTGGAAAAGTATTAAAATCCCAGATTTGAATAAATAAATAAATTTTAAATTAATTTCCAGCTCCAGGTTACGTATAATCCTCTTATAAAAAATAATATTAATAATAATGATGATAATAATGATAATGATAATAATATAACAAAAAAAATAAAAAAATAAAATTCTCTCGTTGAAAATTTAAATCAAAGGATTTGAAAAATAAAAAAATTTTGTCGGTGGACATTTTTATTTTATTTTATTCAATTTACGACTGGAAAAAAGTAACAAAATCTTTCTCTCTCTCTCTCTTTCTCTCTCTCTCTCTTTCTCTCTCTCTCTCTTTCTCTCTCTCTCTCTTTCTCTCTCTCTCTCTTATCTTCTGCTTTTTATTAAAATGAAATTTGAATGGCGTAAAAAAAAAAAAAATAAATAAATAATAATAATAATAATACGAGTTGTCACATTGAATGACGATTGATTCAAATAGATATATAAATTTCATTTTATAATATTTTGATATGTAGAATTTTTATTAAAATAATAATAATAATAATGATAATAAAAAATTGAAACCAATAGGGAAAAATCGATTAAGGTGATAATGATGATAATAATAAATTTTTTTTTTTGGAAAATCCAAATATCGACGCGTTAAGTTTATCGGATTTTTTGAATTATTTATTTTTATTATAACGCCGCCATTTTCTTTTTTTTTTTTTGTCCTTTCTCCAGCGGATTTTCTTTTTATCCGTGATTTGTTAATTGTCTTCATGGATTTATGTTATTCCTTTCGGGTTAAAAAAATCGATAATAAATCAATTTTCTTGAAACAAAAAAAAAAAAAAAACGTTGAAATATTCTTTTCAGACAAAAAAAAAAAATTGTACCCTTTTTTTTTTTATTAAATAAAAAGATAAATGTCACGTCTCACCCTATCCCCCTTCATCTCTTCCCATCACTCTCCTCATTCCCTACACTCTTCCCTAAATGACTCTTTCTTCCTTTTTTTTTTTTTTTTGTTTCCCAACTGGAAAATTCACCTTCCGCCTTTTAAATCCTTCGACACCGCAAAAACCGCCGTCGGATGCTTTCCCTACCCCTTCCCCTCTCCTCTCAACCTCATAAATCAGATATAAAATTAAAACTTTTATTATTATTATTATTATTATTATTATTATTTTTCACGTTGGCACTCTTGCTATCGTCATCCTTTTATTTATTTATTTTCCCTCCTCCTTTTGAGTGAAAATTTTTTTTTCCTCCGTACAAAAATATAATTATTTTTATTATTATTATTATTATGAATTAATTAATGATTGATAATTATTAAAAAATATTTAGAAAACGAATCGGGGAGGGGGGGTTAATGACTTTACGCGGGGAGCTGCTGTTGTTACATCCAACAACGAATTAATTTTTTATTTCAATTGTTAATAAAAAAATTTTTTTCCTTTTTTCCTTCTTTTTTTTTTACAGACGATTGACAATTATTATTACGTAATTATTTTAACGTTAATTCTATTGATTAATAAATTTATTATCATTATTATTATTATCATTATTATTATTATCATTATTATCAAAGTACCATTTACAACAAAAGAAAAACAAAAAAGAAAGAAAAAGAGAAAAATGAAAAACGGTTACGTAAAAATTAATTATTTTTTATTTTTTTTATATAAGTTATTATTATTATTACGTAATATTTTTGTCGGTTATTAGAAAAAAAAAAGACATTTGAGATTTTCTAATTCCACGGTAATTTTTATCCAGACGAAAAATCTAAAAAAAAAAAAACGATTTAAATGAAGTTAAAAAAGCAACACCTGATAAAAATTTTTATTTGTCAGCAAGGACGTCGAGTGAATCAATCGGATTTTTTTTTTTGCTGGAATGAAGAACATTCTGGAAAAAAAAAAATTTCGTAAAATTAATACATATATACGTTGAACTAATTTTATTTTTCCCGACTGCCTCGAGGGTGTTCTTAATTACGTTCAATTTTACATAAAATCATGTTAATTATAACAAAAAAAAAAAAAAATCTGGAATTTTATTCTACCTGGACAACATATTAATTTGACGTCATTAAACAAAAAAAAATTAAAAAATTTCGATTCGATTCGATAGTCGTTGAACCGATTAATAATATTTTTCTCTCCCTTCCCCACCCTTCCCCACCTTTCCTTCCAAAAAAAAAAAATTTTTTTTATATATATAAATTCCAGCCTTATTTTTCCAGAATCGTGTAAAAAAAAAAAAATATTTTAATTAATTTCTTTTTTTTTTTTTTTATAAATTCAATCACACGCTTCATGTTTAACTTTTGTTAAAACATTTCAATTTATATTTATTCCTCATCTTTTTTTTTTTTTATTCTTTTTAATTAAACAGTTGAAACAAAAATTATAAATTAAATTTTTTCCTTTTTTTTTCTTTTTTTCATTTTCATTTTTATAGGAAAATTTATTTAAAAAAAAAAAAAAAAATGGCGGAGGAAAATGTCATAAATCATTTTATTTAAAAAAAAAAAAGAGGGAGGGGTGGGAGGAGGGGGAGGGGAAATAGAAAAAAGGAGAAATTATTCACGGTGTGGAAAATGATTTCAAGTTTTCTTTTTTTTTTTTTTTTTTGGAACTTATTGGAAAATTTTCACACGCGCACACACCCACACACACACATAAAAATATTCATTTCTCGAATTTTGATTGGTGGAAAATTTTTTTTTTTAATAATTAAATTTATTGATAACAAAAAAAAAAATTAAAAAAAAATTACACGTGTTTTGTACGACCGCGTGGCGGCCATTTTGTTTTTTATTTTTCGATCGGTTCGAACAAATTAATTTTTTTTTTAAATTTATAAATAAAAAGGCGGTAAAAATATTTGTCCGATGTATCGAAATTAAATTCAAAAAAAAAAAACGATTAACAATAAAAAAAAAAATTTGACTGAAAATGTACGTCGGCCATTATTGTCTATCATTAACATTTTAATTTAAATTTTTCTTTTTTTTTCGGTTTGTTTTATGTTTAACAACAACATTAACAAAAACATAAAAACATGTTTCGATTATTTAAATCATTAATATAAATCACAAACGTATCAATAAATCGTTTTTTTAAATCAATTTAACACACGATGTCAATCGAGTAATTAAACGGTTAAGAAAAAAAATTTTTAGAAAAAAAAGAAGAAAAAAAAGGGAAAAAAATTCTCTTTAATTAATCACCTTTTAAATGATGAAATAAATATTCAATTGATATTTTTTTTATTTATTAACCAAAAAAAAAATTTTTCCTTTTGTGCGTTTGTGCGTGCGTGAGTGCGTGAGTGCGTGAGTGCGTGTGAGTAAAATTCAAAATCGAAAACCACAAACAGGTTGAATATTTTTTCAACCTTGAATTATTTATAAACAAACGATGAGATGTGTAACACGCACAAAAATTTTTTTTTTTACCTTCGGGCTGAAGAATCTTTTTTTTTTTTTGGTAAACGACGTCTCCAGGATGCGTGTAATAATGCGTAATAAAATGTGGGTAGTAGTCCTTTCTAAAAAAAAAAAATTATTATCATTATTATTTTGAAATTGAAAACGCGTGAATGGAAATGCAAACATTGGGGGAAATGATAACCACCGAATCAAAACAAATTTAAAATTTTTTTGCGTTGAGGGGGTGGGGGTGAATGACGTGTACACACACGCACACGAACTCGCACGCACGTACACACACACACACACACCTATCAATTGTTATTTGCTTTATAAATATATATATATATATATATATATATATATATATATATATATATATATATATATATATATCTTTTATATAAAATTCAATTTACATCGTAAATCTATTCTCATGTGGGAGAGTGTGAGAGAGAGAGAGAAAATCCATGTTTTTCTTTTTTTTTCCTTGTTAAAACAAGTTTTTCGAATTTTCTTTCGATTTCAAATAATAATAATAATAATAATAAATCAGAAATAATTCAAACCAGGTATTTTTATACGTTTTATTATCATCAACCTTCGTACCTGTAAGGAAAAAAAAAATTTAAAATTACGAGTCATCATTTTGTTTTTTTTTTAACCGTTAAAAATCAGTTTTACAAACTTTAAAAAAAAAAAAATTTTCTTATTTTTTTTTTTTTACACACACCTGAATTTTCATTTGTTGTTTTAAAAATTTTCACTTTTCCATTTTATTTTCTTTCGTTTCGTTTCGTTTTTAAGATGAAAACGTGACTTTATTTTGTTTTTTTTCTTTTCCATTGACATCCATTTTTTATTCCACGTTTGTCGTTTGTCGTTTGTCTTATTTTCTCCAAAATCATTCCATTTTCTTTTTTTTTTTTAACTAAATA